TTTATACTGCCTCCATGTTCCATGTGAGTTTCCTCTTCTCTGTATTTAGTTGGATTCTTTTTCCTGCTTTATCTCGCGTCTCTTACGCCTTGCTGTGAGTTTTACTTCCTAACCTGTGATTGCCATGATTACTTTCCCTGCTGTTCACAATTCCCAATTAGCCCTCAGTGTGTGTACACACGGTTCCATCGTTCTCCTAGTCTTTTCCCCAGACTGCTCTCTGTCATCCTGCTTTCCTGCAAGCTTTTGTATTTCTGCTTTGTGCTTCTTGTGGACTTTGTTTTTGGACTTTGGCATTCAGTGTAAAACAAACAAAACAAAAAGGCTGCTTTTTTTGCTTTTATCCCTAATTTGGGTTCTTAATTCTGAATACTAAAGGCATTAACAACAAAAAGCAAAGCAAAAAAAATAAATCAAAGTTTAAAAACAAAACAAAACATGGGGGCATTATTAATTGTCGAAGTAGTAATTGCTTTAAAAATACTCAGTTTTGTTTTTAGATTAACTCCCATCAGGACTCAAAAAAACAGAATACACTGACAAACAAAAGCCACGTTTGCTGTTAATTGAAAATGCACGCTGTGGGTAACTAGTTCAGTGACATCAGTCAAAAGGAGCACCAAGTATAGTTCAGTAGTATCCAACGAGTACAGGATCAGCACCAAGGAGAGCGCTGCATTCTCGTCTCAGTCGTATCTGCTCCAGATTCTAGTAGACGAAGAACTCTGCTGTCAGTTTGTTCATGGCAACAAGGCCAATGACAAAGTCAGCAGGGAGATAACTCACGTTTGATTTTGATTTTGATTTTATTTTTTCATTTATTTATTTATTTTGACATCAGATGTCTTCCTGAAGTCCCCAAAGGGATTTGAGTCTCCTCCTGGGAGAGGAACTGGAGATCTTTTTGCTTGTTTATGTGTAAAGCATTATGGAGACACTTTGCTCTAGATTAGTAAGAAGTAAGAAACAAATGATGTCTATGACTAAACAGTGGACTAAGAAAAAATACTAATTTAAATTACAAATTAAAGCTTCAACATGAGCTATGACCTCTGGTAGTTTATGTTGATCAGGTCACACATTCACTGTTAGATGTCAACTTTTTCATCTTATCTTGAGTCCATGTGAATGCAGGCTTGGTCAGTATCAATCAGGGATTACAATGTTTGTCTGCATATAAGAAGCCCTTATTTAGGCAATTTTTTGTATTTAACTTCAACGTGACTGGAATTAAATGCATTGAACCGTCTAAAGGATTTTGTTTTTAACAGAAAGAAGCCTGTGTTTCATTTGTGCTGCAATAATAACAGATAAAGACTGGAGAAAGGCAAGTTATTGGGAGCAGCGAACAGTGTTCGCTTTCCAAAAAGCAGCCATTAGGGGTAGATAGAGTTCACCATCGTTAGAGAAAGGCTGATTTGTAGACAACATAAGAGGAGACAGTGTTTTGGATAGAGCCAAGTAATGGATGTCTGAAGTGATTTCTCAGAAATGTCATTGTGCACTCAGCTTGGAAACCAGAGAGGCCAGTGTGGCTGTGTTCAGCTACTAGCTTGTCACCTGTCAGCCCTTCTGGGAAATGAGTTTCTGCCTTTTCCCCTCATCTGTTTCTTCACACTGCTCAATGTATTCAGTTTATCTTCAGCATATGGAGAAAAATATCTAAATAATACAACCAAACTGACCATCATAATAATGAAAATCCTGGTTTTAGTCTCCGTGTTATCTCGTTCATACCACAAATGCAAAATCCCTCCATAACCTATGACTGTAGCTGAGTCTTTTTTTCCTTTAATCTTTGATCAATGTATGCTAAACTTTGAATCATAATATTTGAAATATCATATATACAACATCTGTCAGCCTGAGCTGTCTATGTGAATTTTCCTGCTGTTATGCGTGCAGTTTAAAAATAGTAACACAGTGCTGGATATTTTGTGGTCACCGTTGTATAGGAATTTCTTTCATTTAGGTATTAATCACATTATTTTATTGTATTAACATGTCTGACACTCATACTGAAGACAAATGGTGGGGGTGTAGTAAGGAAGTTGGGGGAAGCAGACCAGTCTTTTGTCTCTTTGAGGACTCTGGGAAGTAGCAAGGGAGTGTGAACTTTAAGGTGTGAAACAGCTGTGTACTGCCTTTTGTTCCTGGAGAAGGTATTTAACTGAGAGCCATGTTAGACTCAGTGAGAACTCTGCTGACCGTCTGTCCCGCGGACATGCAGGGGCTCCATCAAGCTTGGTTGTCTTTGTGTCTTTGTGTGTTTGGATTAAAGAATGTTAGCTACCGCTCACCGCTCGTCTGCAGGCTTTATTTAAGTGGAAAACTTCCACAACACCGTTAAGTATGATAGTGTTCAATACAGTTAACTGCTTTGTGCAGAGTCTAATCAGCCATGGTCATCTAAAATAACCTGCGATTCAGCCAGAAATCAATCAGGTAATAAAACACACTGTGCTGTTGTAGGAGAGAGGAGCTACAATATTTCAAGAATTTAGACTTCTACAGGACATTTTGAAAGGATCAATAGAGTAAAGATAGTGTGTATGTTGTACTACACTCTGTTGTTCACAATCAAATTATTATTGTATTAAAAGGTGTGCATTCGATAACATAGCTGCCAGACAAAACTCAAAAAAGTTTTCACACACAAAATATGCTTAGCTTTGTGCTTAGATGTGATATTAAACAAAGAATGGACTTTTGCATGAGAGGAGATGGGGAAAAAATACTGGAAAGAAAATTGATTTAAAATTGTTGTAATTGTGCTCATTACACAGACCAGTATCTGTCAGCCTTGTGACCAGAAAATCATGTATGCGCACGCACACGCACAGCCTCAGCTGATGATCTCATCCATTTTTCTTTTTCTTTTTTTTTTTAAATGACTGGGCTCTCAGGTCCATTTGCCTCTTTTGTAGCGGTCGTCCCAGTGGTCACTTGGGTTGATTTTTAAAGCTTACATGGGCTAGAGGAGAAATAAAGGAAGGCTGGTGGAAATTCAGATTAGAAATGGAACCTTGAAGATTAATGGAAATCAAATGCACTGATTAAGACTGCATTAAGACAAGTGTTCAGCCCACTGCAAGTGGAGTCTGCTATTCAACTGCATTTAAATGAGTCCATTAACACTCACTCCATTACCGATGGATACTTTTGCCTTTCATAATGAATGGTTTGGAATTTACTGCCTTGAACTCTTTTGAACGAACATAAATGAAGAGGCTGCATGAATAAACAGTGCCCCCTAGTGGTTCAATAAAGGTCTTCACCTTCACCAAAACTACAGGGGAGGATGTTCAAATTATTATTATTATTATTATTATTATTATTATTATTATTGTTGTTGTTGTTGTTGTTGTTTTTGTTGTTGTTTTTGTCATATACAAACTATTTAACAGATTCAAATCATCAATGCCATGAATAAATTATTTACATAATGGAATCACCAAGGGAGGACTCACATAACAATAACACACATACTAAATAAACTAGATAGAAACAAACTGAAAATGTAATGACTTAGTGGTAGAAAATTTCCCGTATTTTATGGTGGATTATGGTGGTATAATTCTTGGACAGAGGGCTGCAAAAGAATTCATTCACTAACATGCACCTGTTCATTTGTTCTATATTTCTTTATAAGCCGACTTAGGCTTGCTTAGGCTGCTACCCCTGCAAGCATGGCCCATGTAAGCGGGAAAAAATAGATGGATAGATGAACATTTGTTCATTCAATTATTGGTTCTGTCACTTGGTTTACAGTCTCTTAAAGCACTTTGTTAGACCCGCAATTTCTTTAATTGAAATTTATCATATCTTGTTACTTACTTAATTAAGGAAACTACATAAGTGGAGGACAAAAGAAGCGACGGGCCTAAAAAAAAAAAAGCAGTGTATCTGAAAGTCATGTCCTAGAAATAGGAACAAAAATCCAGCAAAGACCTGACGCAGAACCTCAGCGATACATCTGGCCCTCCAGTTGTCGCAGCTACTGTTCACTGAAGTCTCCTCAGAAGTGGAAGCGTGACTGAGGTGTGCCAGATTACGCAAGAAATGGATTGAAAATCAGTGGCAAGGAGTCTTAAGGAGTGACGAATGCCAATGTGAGAGTTTTGGTTCAAATGATCATCGATATGTACGGAGGAGATCAGGAGAGACACTGAGCATCTACAGCCATCTGTGAAACACAGTGGGTTCTGTCATGGTTTGGGGCTACACTTCAGTCAGCTGTTGAACCTAAAGATAAGGCCTATGCAGTAAAAGCATACTTGAAAAGAAAAACGCACAGTGGAGCACTAACAGTCTGTGGATCCACAGACTTTAACATTATTGAAGGAGTGTGGTATCATTTTACAAAATGTGTTACAAAAAGAAGCCAGCATCAAAAAAAGAGCTTTGAGAGAACTTTGTCCTTCAAGTAGCCTGGAGAAGTATTCCTGAAGGCAACTTAAAGACATTACAAGAAAGCTTGCCAATGATTCAGGCTGTGTTAAAGAATAAAGGCGCTCATACCAAATACTGACTTTCAAGCTCATTAGAAGTCTAGAAACTCTGTTTTTGCCTTATATATTATATATCCATGTATGTTTAGACCTTTTAATAAATCCCTGAACCTATTTCCTTTTTTTCTAGCAAAATCTAAAGAAATAAAGGTTGGCTCAAGTCTGAAGTGAAATTGTGTAATAGTGTGAAGTCATTTCAAATAGAAACAAGGAGGGTGTGAAGAAACTAACACATGGTTATTTGTTATATTGTTATTCTATACCTCTCCCTTTTTATGGATGTCTTTACAGCCAGCACCACCAAACGATATCTTGTGTACATCTTTAAGCTACATCTGGACACTGGCATTTCTAATTTCTTCGTCATTACTGCTTACTAAGAAATTGAAAGTGTATCAGTGTATTTCAGTGCATGTATTCACTGAAATACAGTTAGGTAGTTTGCATCATGTCACAAGCACACATACACAAAATGAGCAGGATGCCAACTAGGATGTATTAACAATATTTATTCACTACAAGCTCCAGTGTTATTTTTCCTATTTCATTTCAACCCAACAGTCAGAATGAGATGTGTTTCTTTTTCTTTACATATTTACAGATTGGTTTCACTATTGGCAATATATCACATTTATCTATATACACAACCCATTTACCACCTTGTTGACACTAAGCACTTTGAATGGTCACTAAGACCAGAAAAGCGCCATATAAATGCAGTCTATTTATCGTTCTTGCCAGCCAACAGCAGAAGATGAGATGTTTGTTAAATATGGGTTAAAACCTCAGTAGATTTCTACTGCTTGTGCTCTCTTTCCGCCTTATCTCTTGAAAACAGAGGGCAGAGCAAAAGTAAAATAAACTCCATTTAGTTTTACTTTTGGAACTTTCCATTCTCTTTAGGAATAAAGCTAAAGGTCTTAGAACAAGAGTTCAGTAATGCTTTCAGAAGGTGTTCAGGGCAGGGACACTGGAAGAGATTGTGAGTGAAATATTCACAAAGACTTTATTATGAAAACACTGACAGACAAAAAGGAGGGGATGCGATCACTGATCTTTGACCATCTGCCCTCGTTTAGCCTTTCTCTATTTAAAATCAGTGTGTTCAAGTGCCGTAGCTCTCCAGCACTGTAGACAGCATCAAAGGAAAACAAAGAAAGAAATGGGTCCATGTAGTCAGACCATACATGAGCAAGTCAGTTTATGATACTGGAGTAACTGATTAATGTAAACTGAATACTGAATAAATGAAGAATATGGAGATCCAAAGTACTAGCCGTTATAATGTCAGAAAAGCAATTCTGGGTTATGGTGAAGCACACGTAACTGTCAGGACATTAACATCATAACATATTAGGCCTGTATAACTTGATATTTATTGCTCCCATTATCAAAATATTTGGTGGGATTCGTCTGAAAGTGAGTACTGAAAATCAGTATTTCATTTAAAAATGTTCAAATATTGACTTTAAGTTACCTTTTGAAAAGTGCAAGTATTTCTGAACTGATTACTCATCAAATGTGGTACGAGCGTACTTCCAAGTCATAGCTATGGATAAATACAATTTGGTTTTGGAAAGAGGTGAAACGAAAGAGTAGGAGAAAAAAAAAGGTTAACAGTGAGACACCTTCAGTTCTCACTATAATGATTTTGATGGAAGAACATGACAGCCAATCAAAAATACAAGGAGAAGAAGAAGAAGAAGAAGAAAAAGAAGAAGAATGCTTGATTTTAAATTTTCAAAACATCTACTGAAAGTTTTTAAAAACTTCTGAGCCCGTACATGGACTGATGAGAAAATTTGAACTTTTGTCAAAAACAGACAAAGTATGTTTGGAAGGAAAAAGGCACTGCACAAAAACAACAAAACCTCATCCCAGCTGGAAAGCACGTTGGAGATAGTGTCATGGTTGGATGGAGGTTTTTCCAGCTACAGACAACTTTTTTTCTTACTTCTATCAAAGACTTGAAGAGCACATCTATTTACTTGTCATCGGTTTAGTCAGATAGTGTGTATCTAATGAATAAGAAAAAAATCAGGTCAAATTTTTTAGTAATCAGTGCAGAAATCCTGTTATTTCCAAAAAGAGTACGTAGGCAAATTGTACGAAGAGTTAAAGTAAATAAACATCAACCCCTGATTAAATGAGTAAAGTCATCTATATAAAACAATTTTTTGTGACACAAGTGACACAATTGCATTTGTTACAGAACACTTGCTCGCTAAGAGTTTTGTCTAGTAAGACTTCAAAATGCTAAACAGCACATTTGAACTTTTCCATCAAACACACACACACACATTTTCCAATACTGCATTTACCTTGAAAAGCGGCTGTGTCCAATATTGCATCGTTGCTAGAAGGATTGATAAGAAATGGTGCCTTCAGGCACAAAATGAAATGAATATGGCTAAATTTGGAAAGGTGGGACTTGTTGAAATTTGGTTGGAATACAAAGATGGTGGATCAGAAATACAGTACCTTATACAACACACATATCATAAGCTGTAATGAAACACATAGCCATCCTAACGAAACCCTTCACCGAAACCAGCACAGTCTATGAAACCTAGCTTGTTACCAATGTAGCAGAAAAAAACCTGTTTTCAAATTAAGACATGTGAGTTGTAAAATATGTGTTAGATGTGTATTTTCTTTGATTTACAATCTAGCCTACTTTTGCAATATGTACATTAAAAAAAAATATTTAGACGGAGAAAAAAAAATCAGCTTTAAATATATATTTATCTCTGTGTTTTTAAAAAATCATTTATGAAATAAGCGGTCAGCTTATTTCATGTCAAAGCAGCAGTGATGTGTCATGAACCAGGCTAGGACAACAGCAAGTATAAGGACAGCAAACGCTAAGATCCATCTCCATCTGGTGGACAGTAGCTTTCTGTTGGGAAAGTGGCACCAATTTCTTCTCTGGTGCCCTCTTCAAATATTACCACTGTTCTGTGTGTGTGATAAACTTTAGATGTTATGGGAAAAGCATATTGTTAGTAAGACTATTATTCAAAAATCAGAGAGGGTTATATAAAATTGTTCTGAAAAGTGCAAAAACTTAATTTAAAGGTTTTCATTCAGTGACTTAATGTATGTTATGCCTTGTATTGCACCCAGTAACACCCAGTCGCCTTTACGAGCTTCTAAGGCCATTTGAAACCCCATCATTTCATTCACACCTTCATCTTTGGGGTACTGCCAACAGACTTTAAACATTCACGTTTTCATGTAAAATTCCTTATCATCTCTATCATTTCCCTCAACCAAAATTACAACAGAAATGAAAAACGAACAAACAAATGGAAAAAAAAAAAGCAAACTTGTTATGTTCTGAATCAGGGATCACATGCATTTATTTAAGAATCCAAGCTTGCTTTTGTCTGACCATGCAGTATGGACACACTGTGATGTACGTTGGTTTAAAAAAACAAACAAACAAACAAAAAAAATCAATCATCACAATGATCCAGCCCTGAAAAACACCTGGGAATCCAGGTTCTGTAGGATGTTTCACGCCAGCTTTGGGAAATCATCCACATGGTTTTAAAAATAGTTCCCACTGAACCCACCAATGAAATCCATCCAGTTAAGGGGATGATCAGATACCACGTAGTGCTTCTCTAGAAAAAACAAACAAAAGAAAAAAAAAAACACCGGTCCATCAAGGAATTGGCATCAAATGAACTCTGCACTGTAAAATCCCAGTTTGTTTGGAGATAAAAAGGTCGAGACATACAGAAAGACACAGCTGTAAAGGGCAGCGGGCTGCTTCAGCCCATATTTAGTCTGCTTCTCATCGGTGGATTTCAAACATTGCAACCGAACGCTCATTCAGTCTCGTTTTGAAAGCTAACAGTTCCTCAAACTCAATTTCAAACAAGTGAGCCCGCTCTGCTCTGGGCAGGCACCATGACTGGCACCGCCCCCATCCGCTCCAGAGTGGCCTGGCTCACGGCGTAGGAGTGTGTGTGTTGCCCGTGTGCGGACGTCACCACCGGTTTGAGGCTCACGGTGCCGTTGCTGCGCACCATGTTGGGAGGGGAGGGGGCAGAGTTTGTGGTGACCACCAGAGTCTTTGGCGGCGGGAGGGTGTGGCTGCCGTTGGCAAACGACGTCGTTGCTGTCGTGGGCGGGGGGTGGCGGGAGAGCGGGGTTGAGCCTGGAGCTGTCACCGCTGCGCCGTGGCCTTGTGCTGCGTTCTGGCCTGGGCCGTGTCCGTGCGTGCCGTGAGCAGCGGCAGAGTAGGTCTGGCGAGCGTCTCCGTTGTAGCGCGTGTAGGAGTTGGTGTCATAGTTGGGTTTGGGGTTGTGCCAGTAACGACTGTTGTACGTGTTGGTAGACGTGAGCGTGTCATTCTCTGAGGAGGACGCGTCGGCATGGAAAGCCTTTACTGATGATGACCTCTTAGGAGGAAGGTCATCCTCTCTGTTGAGGAGACATTTGAAAGAGCACAGTTAGACATGCAGATTACAATGACTGCCTGTACCAACGTTTATGGTTTGCACAGGGAAAAACATTAGGAAACTGTTTTTCATTAAACAAAATTTTATGATATTTATTTTGTTAATCTTGTGCATTTATAGCAAAGCAAAAAATCACAAATACTGCTCTTTGTAAAGACGTAAGTAATACAAGAAGTGAAAGCCAGTTAGTTCAGCTTCATATATTTAGCACAAATTTCCATAAAAGATTAATTCAGCTTCACAGTGCAGCAAAAGTTCTACTGAGAATCTACAAGGTGCTTATGTATTCATGTGTGCACTCTGATCTTCGTGGAGCCTATCAAATATAATGTGATAATCATTGCGAAGCCGTGTGCGAGTAAAGCAACAATGTCAAAACTATGATAAAATAATTTTATATGTATTCAAAAGTATTTCAAATGAAGTCGACAAAAACTTCCTGCCTTTCTGTTTTTCTATTTTCATGAGGAAATGGAGTTGAGCTCCTGAGGCATATGAGATGAAGTGTATTCTTTGTGATTTTCTGTTGAGGAAAAGCAGAAGTGTAAGGGTGGACTGACAGTTTTATTGCTCTCTCAGTTACTCAAAGCTACAGATATCTAAAAGTAAACTAATTTATCCTCCAAATGAGTCCTGGAGTAATTTAGTGGCAAATTTGCAGCTAAGGTAAACAACTGACAGAGGTTTTAAAAGACAAACTAGCCTGTAATTAGGAAGAACATTTAAGCCCATTACTGGTGTAGTTTTCAGAGCTTTCAGTGCTGACACGCTTAATATTCTACAACAGGAAGCACAAAGCCAACGCTGCATGTTTTTGATTTTTAAAATCCATCAGACAGGCCATAAATGTCACCCTGCAACCTTCTGAAACACTAAGTATGTGATTAGCTCAGTAAACAAACCCTGCTTTACTTCAACAGAAACTCTATATTAAGTATAAGCAACGTCGTGGAGAGATGGACTAAAGAGCTGCTTAATTCTGAGAAACAAACAAAAACGCTTTGATGACAAAATACAAAAACTGCACAAAATGGGAAAGCTGGACTGTTAAATAGCTTTTCACCTGATAGTAACAGACAGTATGTATACTGGATACTACTGGTACTTTATTTATAAGTAGTATTTCTATGTTATGCTACTTTCTACATCTACTCCACTTTATTTTTGGAACCAGACATCCCAACACAATTTATTTGAAATCTTTAGTTGCTTATTTGGCAGTAAAATTACATATAGCAACAAATAATGTTTAAATAATATAACATATATGATTATGAAAAGTTCTATATAATATATTTTTTATTTTTATATTTTTCTGATTCCCCACTCCCTTGGCTCTTGGTTCCCTCTGTGCCCCTTCATTAAAAAAAATCCTGGAAACGCCCCTGCATCCTAATAGCCTTAACACCTTATAAGGTAAACGCATTCTTTATGGCTCCTACACATCAGTCACTGGACAAATAAAAGCTTATCTTTAAATATAAATGTATTCAGTCTGAATAAATACATAAACTACACCCATTAGCCACTTGATCAAGCATAGTGCAATCTACTACCATCCAACAGTCTGCCGTAAAGCCTTGCTTTTGTTGACTGATTCCATTGTGTGTTGTGATGGCGGTCTACTGAACTGCATTTCATTGAAAAATCTTCCAAATATTTTGTTCATTCCATAAGCACACAGTGCATTTAGGGGGCAAATCATTAGGAACACTTCAAATGTACGTTGTCTAGTACAAGCACTCAGCACAGTCTCAATAATAAAGCAGAATTATCACCTTTTTGACACAGTCAGCAAAAACTGAAAATGTGCTCTCCATAAAAGTTCAGCATGCCAGTGCCGCTGCGTTACAGGTTACAGACATACTGAGTAAACGTGGTGAGCGTACAAGCTTGCAGATGCACTTTCACACCAGCCACATGGTAATGAAAAAGAAAAAAAGAACAATGGAAAAACAGCAATCAAAGCCAAACCTGATCTCATTGGGGATCTCCTCCTCGTCATATTTGTTCTTGTTCTTCCAATAGAAGAGTGTGACCACCACTAACAGGGAACAGATGATGACTGCCAGGACTCCTGTGGCAATGGTTCCTGCTATTAGACCTACACTCTGAGGCTGGGCTGCAGGACAGACAGACAAGAGGATGACATTTGAAAATGACCAGAGAGCTGGATGAGTTGGCCAGAACTACACTTAAAAAATTATCTAGTAAACAGAATCATTTCATTACACACAGAGAATCAAAAAATGTATTTGTTTAATATAGCTCCTAAAATACATCACTGGATCTGTATGTCAGGTATTTCAGAATAATATAAGGTGTCACTACAATAAGACACAGAATAAGGTGCGGTCCACACTTGATAATAACAGACTGAGCACACAGTGGAGCTTTTATAGGCTGAAAGCCACATAAGAAACTAGAACAGCTGATTATCCTCCGACATCAGGCAATTGCCCACCGAGGCTGGCAGCTTCCAAATTGTCCAAAAAATAAATAAATAAATAAAATCTAAAAAAAAAAAAAAACAAAACATTTTTGAATATTGAAAACTTTGTCTTGCTTTAATGAAAGAGCCCCAGATGTACTAAACTGACCTTTTCTGTGCCAAATAACAATTTTCAGCGCCCAGCTGACACAACTTTACACAACAGGTGTACTTGCCAAAATAAATAAATAAACAAAATTCTTTCAAGTCCAACGTCTGACTAACTTTGTCAAAAAGAGTTTGGGACAATCCATGTTAAACATATACATCATGCCTTTTATTTAATATATGGCTTTGTAAAAAGCAATCTCTTTGTCATAATTAATGGATTCAAATTGTTTTTAATAAAAAAATAAAATAAAATCTCATTCACGAGCCTTTACGTCTGTATCGTGTCAGCAAATCACAAGTCTGGCATGTCTGGCAGACTCAGCACTCTGATACAGAGCCCCGGCCTGTCACACGCTGTCAGATGACCAAAAGAAAACAACATGTTACAGCCCTTTCTGTCAAGCTATCAAAACTGCCCGACCCTGTCACTTTTATCACCTCTGTTTTTTTCCTGGTGTCAGATGTCAAGTGCTGCCGTGTGCAAGCGGCTCTGACTGCCCTTTGTTTGGCTGGATTTTGTCACATTTGTTTGTTTGCTTATGTCTGTGTTTGACGGCTGTCAGTCACCGAGAAGACTTCTGCTCTGCCAGTAGCAGCCTTTCCATCTTAAACAAACAGACACGTGTCACCTTACCCGTGCCTGTGATGTTTGAGTATACTTACGTGCAACAACCTGCAGGTTCAGCAGACATGTGCTCTTTCCGATAGCGTTGCTGGATGTGCACTGGTAGAGTCCTGAGGTGGTGGTGCTGATGTTTCTCAGTGTGACAGTGCCCTGCATCTGGTCTAAAGGACACAAACGCACGCACATACAGAGAGCCACATAGTAATTAAAGTTTCTAAAACACAACCATATGGACCCTGTGTTGTAACTCGCACATTTAAATAATTCAAACACACTTATATTGATTTATACTTTTAAAAACTTTCGCTGAACAAGTTATACTAACTACCAACAGAGGGTGCTATTGTCTTCTTAATCCCAGTTGTGCAAATATGTTGTTCAGTAGAACAATAAAACTGAAGATTCCTTTTTCATAAATGATGAAAGGGTTGAGCTGTACACTACTGGAGTCATTTAAATTGCATAAGCTTTTATTCATTTATTTATTTGTTCTTATCTTATATTTCCGCTGCAGAGGAAGTCAGCCAGATCTTTAACTGTTCTCTTAGCAATGACACGACAGATGTCATAGCTGTCTGCGTCAAACTAAACACACAGAGGATTAGGAGTGGCACTGGATTCCAGGATCCCTTTACAGTTTGAATGACATGCAAGCAGAAGAAAACAAACGTGAATATTTAAAGATACATTTGTTATGTTTGTTTGTTGTTTTTTATGTAAGCGGACATGTCAAATGTGGTCATCAAAAGGTATAAACTTAATATTTTATATATTAATGCAAAATTTATTTTAGAGGCTGTTAAATTATTTATACTGTAAATAATACCTGCAGCTATAAGTATAACCTCAGTAGTGAGTCATATTTTGGGCTATATGTTGCAAAACAAGCTAACAAGTGTGGTTTTTTCACTAATGAAGTGGATTT